ATGTCCCGGACATCTGACTTCGAGACTAGAAAGGCGCACGGGATAAATAGATAAGAACTAATAGTAGATGCGCGCTCGCCGATTGCGTTACGTGACATACCCGTTCCGTTGTGCTTTAGACTTGGCTCTCAATTTACCGCCTGTAATAATAGCCGCTATGTGGACGGCGAGCCCCAAGGCACAACGCGGCAAGTGTGTTCCTTAGTTCGATCGAACAGAGCTTATCTACCAGTGTTTGTATATTAGATCGCAACCAACTGGACAACAAGTCCATAGCTGAATAGTCAGTTCACTGGACTTCAAAGCAGCAGGTCGCGGGTTCGAATGTCAGGGATTAAACAACTTAGGTTAGATTATGGCTGGTTGCTTGCGGCTAATAAACCAAAAATAGACACTGCAGTCTCTTTTGTTTTTGCTAAGACCTTTACACAAATAAGCAACCGTTTTAACTGTTTCTTCGTTGTCCGTCTGCCATAATCACCCCCTAAATATAAGATTTAGTGATTATGTTTGACTTTTACTTCGTACCCTTGCTCAGCTTTACTAACTAATGCTGTACTTTATAAAACTTTCCAAGGTCTCCTCTGTAGGTCATGGAAACAAAATTCACACAATATTCAACTCTAGGGAAAAGTTATAAATATATGCTATCGTTTGGATTCGAACCATGATGATGGAGCGTCAAAAGTTGTTTGATAATCTCCGACTGTAAAAACAAAGGCAAACATTTTTCTGAGTTCCTTCGGTCGGTTCTCACCACAGAAACTGCCTTCGTCACAACTAATGATGAGATCGTGGGAGTACCAAATACTGAGGACATTTTGTTTTGAGAGTAAACGATTTTTCAAGAACTAAAAAGCTTGAAGGAATGTAAATCACTTGGTCCAGATGAGATTCCTGCGAAATTCCTCCGCGAACTAACGGATAGTGCCGTTCCGTCACTAACAAATATAAATTCTAAAAATTCTAAACCACTTTCTAGGGTGTGCCAAAAACCTTTCGATGCTGGAATCCTTCCTCCAGATTGGAAAACAGCGTACGTTACACCGCTTTACAAAAGCGGTAGTCGTGCAGTAGCGAACAACTACGGACCCGTGAGTCTGACCTCCATATGTTGTAAGGTAATGGAGAAGATCAGCAAGAAGGAATTGATAACCTATTGTGCAACTCGCAATATCGTTTCCAATGTGCAATATGGCTTTCGTAGGGGTAGGTCATGCGTTACAAATTTTCATTATAAAATGCAAAGCTGGACAAGGGCAATTGATCCAAAAGAAACCGTACATGCGGCCTATATTGATTTTCGGAAGGCCCTCGACAGTGTTCCACACCAACGTCTCCTGCATAAGTTGAGACTGATGGGTAT